AGATACTAAATGTGTGGATGGTTACAACCTTGTGTGTGATGATCGTGTTACATTAAAGTTAAGGTGGATAGACATTAGTTAGTGGGCCACACACACACACAAAAGAATGCACACAAGCCAGACCTGCTCTGAACTTTCCTCTCTACATGTAACCCCACTCACACACCCTCACCCCATCACACCAGCTTAAGTCCTACATGTTAATCTCTCTCCTTCTCACTGTCTTTCTCTGAAACACACACAAACATGCTTGCTTTAATTCTCCGCCTGCACAGACCCCTGCTTCATTTTCTGGTCATGTGCACCCATTGCGAGGGGGCGAAGCAGACACAAAGTGACACAGAGAGCAGAATGAGGAGGAGGAGCGGAGGCGAGGCTGGAGCTGCAGCCTGAAAGGAGGTGATGGGAGGTGTCTGATTGTCCTACGCTGAATGGGACAGTTAAAAGGAGAACCTTGTTGCAAAAGCTGGTGGGCTGGACTGGAGGCTGGTTAAGCACTGGTGTGTGTAAAACTGTGTGTGTGTGTCTAATAAGAAGGAGGAGGAGGATGACTGATGACCAAAGGGAGGATGATACTGGAGATGATGATTATAAAATTTTAAATAATACACTGACTGATACCACTCTCGCATCTGTCTGTTAAAGATAAAGCTACAGCTAGCAGATAGTCTGGAAACAGGGAGAGACAACTAGCCTGTGTCCAGAGGCAACAAAATCTACCCACCAGCAGCTCTGAAGCAAAATTATTAACACAGTACAGCTGGTTTGTTTAGTCAAAAATCCTAACAATCTCCCCCAAGTTACTAGTAACTGCTAGTTTTAAAGTAGACATTTACTAAATTGGCCTGCACCATTAAACTTAAGATGTTATGTAGCTGCTACATTATAAGCATCCATAGCTTTGTCCTATCAATAGCAATCAGCTATGCAAACTGAAAATAGTATTACAGACTAGTATAACATTCACAAATTACACCTTTAAAGGCACAAAAGATACCGTAGATCTTTTGCAAATATAATTAGTACATTGTTTTATTAATGTATCCATGAAGAAATGGAAATGTTTAAGAGTTTCAAAACTTAATTGTGACTTTTGCCACAGGAGTAAATATCTTTCCAGAAAGACAGTTGAGAAATACAAACTTTGAGCAGCATGGAGATGAAAAACTTCATCGCTTCTGTTTGATAAAACTCATCATCAACATGGCTCAGAAATCTTTGACATGCCAAATTTGTCTCAGTGCGTGTTCAGACAGAAAGAAATAAGAACATGAAGGTATGTTTCTTCATTACTGAAATGTTAATTTAACTTGTTTTTGCCTAATTAATTCCAGTGTCTTCCAAGAACAAAAACAGCCCCACAAATATTAATTAGGACCTCATATTCATGTTCGTGGGGATGGTTGTCAGGTCTGTAATTAACGAGCTTTAATCATTTGATCATCTGTTTAATTAAAGACTTGCTATAATTTGAAAGTTTGTTTGCTTTTCAAGAATAAGAGAGAGAGAATTCTTATTGATATTCTCGTTTACCCAGATTGCACCTAAAGACAACTATAAGCACAAATAAGGCTTTTAAAAGTTAGCCTAACATTTCTGAGAAGTATAGTCTATGTTTTCAGTTTTCAAATGTTTCACTTTCATAACAAAAATTAATCTAATAACATGATTGAGGCTGGAAGGGGTTGTAACTTGGCTTCGCTCTGACACCTCAGTTTCATGTTGCTTTGCTCCATCTACTGTTCAAATGATTCAACCTTTGTAAAAAATCTCTTGTGACACTTCAAACTGCAGTTTTGATGAACAAAGTGAAGGTATTGCAGATCAACAGGCACATGTGTATTTGGTCTAATATACAGCAGGTGTACTCGGTTTTCAGTGATGTGGTGAACAAGGGTGAAGTGGGAAATAAATCTTTTAGAATGAATATTTAATATAATCCTAAAAGAAACAACTGAACTTGAATCCAAATGCAGCTCAGATATTCCTTGGACAGTCTGGTGAAGACAGGCCTTATAATAACTCAGCATTAGCGCATGAAAAATAAACATCCACGTTCATTTTCACGTCGACATTCTTCATTGAGAAAAACTGTGATTTTTAACACCTCTGACACCAGAGAATTGTTAAACACAAATAGAGAAGGACTTCGAGGCCTAACTGAAGAAAAAGAAGAAATCAGACAAGGTGTGACTTGATGTGTTATATTGCAAGCTGTGAGTTGATAAAGTCTCAAATTTACCTACGGGTATAAATAAAGTAACCTAACCTAAGTCTCTCATTAGTCCCCAGCTGAAAAGAATCATTCTTAAGTCGCAAGGAGTTACAAGATATGTATGAGGGTCTGTGAGATGATTAACAGGCTAAGAAAATGGAGACAAATGCTGCCCCAGATTATTTTTATTTTGTCAGATATTCCTCTAAACATCTATTTGGCCAAATACTGCACAACACCTTAAATAACACAACAAAAAATGAAACCCTCTCTGATAAGTCACAAGTAGTGTGCTTTGTTTGAGATGCCCAGAAAGTTTAGATTCGCTGGTTTTAGTCAGAGCATCCAAACTATTAAGAATTAGAACAAAAGTGTTTCAGAAGCCTGTTCAATGTCTCTACAGGACAGAGGTTTGTGTGTATAGGAGGTTATTATGGCTTGGAAATGCAAATCACCCATGTATTATTATATGCATATAGAATACAGATACTAGAACTCAGCAATAAGTAGTGATGTGTAAGAGTTTACAAAACGAAGTGAGTTTTGACCCAGTAATTTTTTTTAAACGTGTAACTAACTGTCCTTTTGCAGCCCAGAAAGTGATGCCATAGGGCAGAGAGCCACTTATAGAAGAGAAAAAAGAAAGAGAGTTGCAAGAGAAGAAGCACCCAGAACCAGAGAAGAAGAAGAAGTAGAAAGAGTGAGAAGAGGAGGAGAGAGGGGAAGAATAAGAAAGATACAAACAGAGGGATCAAATGAAAGTGAGGAGCTTATACACAGTGAAAAGGGCACATTAGGGCTGACCTGCTGCAATGGTAGTGTGGGGGGGTAGAGTGAACAACTGCCTCCGTTTGGACCAGTGTCCTGGTGATGTAGAGCTAGGGCTCTCAGATGAACACATGCAGACATGAAAAAACACCAAAAACACATAAATAAAGCGAAAGAAACTTCTAAAGCACGTGTTCCTGCACAAATTGGTACCTGACACACACACACACACACACACACGATCCCACAGCTTTCCTCTGTCCCTCTTATTCACACATTTCTCCACATTGGCCGGATTAGGAACACTTTCTCTTGGGTGTGCGAGGCTGCCCCACACACAAAGAAACACTTGGGGACAGGATTAGTAGGCTTACAGAGGATTCACATATGTCCAGTTCAAGCAATTGGTATTTAAAGCTTTACACTTTCAAATGCCACCAAGAGAGAGCAAAGCCGACCAGCGCTTTTCTTTGCATTGACAGCACCTTTATGAGAAGGGCTCTTTCGCTGGACCAACAATGAGGCTGTGAATACACATTTTTACAGTTCTACCAGGGGGATCTCAGTGGCGAAGGACACGGCACCAAGTAGAATTTGAGACAGACTTTATTATCTGGGTTTGAAGTGCTGACTGTGTGTGTGTGTGTGTGTGTACAGATGGATGGATGGATAGACAGACGGATGGATAGAGGGACGGTGAGGTGGTGGTCAGAGGAAGAGTGCTCCTGTTACTTTCACATTTTATTGTCGGTAGCCTGGTCCTCCACTCCACCTCAACAAAACAGATCTGGAGTAGACTCTTCAGAGTGGAGAGAGCGCTCTCAGCAGCTCAATATGGACAATGCTGAGTCCATTTAATGCATTATCCCACAATACCTTCAGAGACCTGTCTGTCCACTTAATTCAGCACTAAAATATGTTCAGTTATGGATAAATGTTTTCATTTGTGTGTTCATTTTTTATGATTTGTATCATTTTGAAAATGTAGCAGATAGCTGGGTTTAATATTTTAGTTTTAGTGCAATCACAATATGACTACTTATTGTTTACTTTTAGTTTTTATATGTGTGAATGACTCATTTATCTTGCTGCCTCAGATTTCCCCTTGAAGGATGAATATAATATTGTGAACTGAACTGAGTTCTTCAAGTGCTGTAATGACTGTACTATAAGCAGTTTTTATTTAGTATTTGGAAATGTCCTCTAGTCTACATGTTTAATAGTCAAGTGCGGACTATTGTTAATCAAATTGTTGACAATGTAACAGCAGCAGCAACAAGAATAATAATTGATGATGATGGAGAAAAAAATGATGCTTCAGTAAAACGTGGAAATGATGACAAGTTGGAGTCTGGAGGTCCAGACACCAGATATCTGGGTAAACTCTGACGCCCACATGCTGCCATATGGCCAGCAGAGTGCCGATTGTCGACGCGGGCATGTTACCTCCGTCCCCGCGGAGGCCCTGCACCCCTGCGGCATCAGGAGCCGCTGAATGGGAAAGGAAATTCCCTTCCCATTCCTCCGGATTCTCTCAGGCAACCACCGGTCGAACCGCAGAGACTCTGGTTTTTGTCTGGTCCGATAAACACCACGGACACCATGTGTGAGAGAGGCTGGTGAAGTTACACGGCGCGGGCTCTCCTCATCCTGATGCATTGAATCAACAATTTTATATCTGTGAAATCAAAACATGTTCAAGTAAAACATTTTTCGCGATTGATTTTGTGCGTAAATGTTACACTGCGCAACTCACATAGCAGTAACTTCTGAAAAATAAAGTGGGGGCTTTTAAAACGAAGCTATTTCAAACTGACCGGTTTGTCCCTGGAAGAGTAACTTTCTGATCCTCGAGAAGAGAAGAGAAGAGAGGAGAAGAGTGGAGAGGAGAGGAGAGAAGAAGAGTGGAGAGGAGAGGAGAGGAGAGGAGAGGAGAGGCGCTGTGCCCCCAACAGCGTCCTGACAATGGCAGTGAATGGCTGCGCATCGCGGTCACTGGGACAGTCAAAGCACACCGCCCCCTTTCTAACGGGCACGTCATCCTCCTAACTAGGCGTTATGAATAGGAAGGCCGCTTTTGTCTGACCGAATGTATAAATACCCGCTATCATAGTCCGCCTCACCGCAGAGAAACAGAGACACACAGAGAGATAAAGTCGCAGTCACACAGGCAAAGTGGTCGCCGATGGTGATAAGAAGTACAAGAGCGGGGGACAAGAGTGAGAGAGGGGGAGAGAGAGAGAGACTGAAAAGAGAAATCAGAGAGAGAGAGGAGTGGGTGACAGTGAGTGAGAGAGGGAGGAAGCCAGCAGCGACCTCCTACCCAACAACCTCGGAAGCAAACCCATAAAATGAATTCAGACTCCAGCCCGAGCAGCAGAGCCTCTTCCCCGGACATGGACGGTATGTTTCTCCGAGACCACCACCTGCACCACCACCATCACCACCACGTCGGCTCCTCCGTGTCCTCCTCCACGCAGAGCGGCGACCAGCAGCGCCAGAAGATGACCGGCGGCGAGCACCTGCGGTCTGGAGACGCCAAGTCAGCTTCTGTGGGGAGCAGCAGCAACAGCAACAAGTACAAACTGAAGAAACAAGTCACCGAGGAGGAAATGTACCAGCTCCGTCTCAAGATTAACGGCCGGGAGAGGAAGCGCATGCACGACCTCAACTTGGCCATGGACGGCCTGCGTGAGGTGATGCCCTATGCACATGGGCCCTCGGTGCGGAAGTTGTCCAAGATAGCTACGCTGCTTCTGGCCAGGAACTACATCCTGATGCTCACCAGCTCCCTGGACGAGATGAAGCGGCTGGTGGGGGAGATTTACGGCGGGCATGTCTTCCTCCACGTCCTCCACCCTGTCGAGCGCGCTACCGGGGCTCACGTCTATCCGAGCACCCCATTCCTTGATGAAGGGCTCACCGGCTGCGCCCCCAGCCCTGCAGCTGGGCTCCGGCTTCCAGCACTGGGCCGGACTGCCGTGTCCCTGCACCATCTGCCAGGTGCCTCCTCCTCCACACATCCCCATCACCTCAACGGGCCTCACGAGACTCACAGGGGAGGGAAAGGACGGGATGAAATGATGTCTGCTGTGTGTGACAGACAGAGACTGAGACATGTAATGATGATTGTAAATAGATAACGCAGGGCATGAGGGTGGATTTGGCCTCACTGGTGCATGCTGTTGTTTAGTCTGTTTTCCTGTTTGACGTATGAGAAAAAGTATTTTCCTCCTTGTAACAAGGACTTATAAAGATTTGCCAATTGAAGGTGAAAAGAAAAGTTCTGTCATGCAACAAGACGCCACGATCTTCTTGTGTTTGACTGTCTCACAGCACAGTGTGAAAGGCGAAGGAGACTGCATGAACATTTTGATTTAATTTGTGTGTGTGTGTGTGTGTGTGTGTGTGTGTGTGTGTGTCAGGCATCATTTTGTGGAAACGAAGAATGCTCTCTGCCTTGTACCAAGGAGTTTAAGATTGAATTCTATATGAAAAAATGTGTTTGGTTAAAATAATTCTGCTTACCGCGGAAATTTGATTTAAAATCCAAGTCCTTAGGTTTATTTTGTGGCTCACTGTTATGTCCATTTGTGCTTTGATCTTATTTCATAATTTTATCGTTTTCTTTTTTGCATGATTGAATAATTGTCACAGCATGATGGTTTTTGCTGGTCTGAATTAAGCCAAGAGACCCTGTGTCTTTATTTTTGTACATTGTTGATGACTGATGAAGTATTTATTATCGCCCAGCGTCCCTGGATGAAATTTCAATAAAACTGAAATTATGGATCAGATTCACTGTCTTCCCTTCTTTTTGAACTTGGTCTAAAACATTAGCCCACAAAACTACATTTTTTTAATTATGTCAACTGTGTGTTACACTTCCCGAAGGTATATTTTACTTATTATTACAATTTATTTACCTATTCTTAAAGGATAGCCCACAAAACTATACAGATTTGGTTTGATCTCAGAAGAAAAATCTAAACCTATTGATTTATTTTAGCCCAAACAAAATTCTTTCTTGTATATTTTAGTATTTCTTCCTTTAATCTTCCTTAAAATGACGTGTGTGTTTGTGTGTGTGTGTGTGTGTGCGTGTGTGTATTGCTCCACGCTAAACAAGTCCTCAAGCAAAAAAATGTGTGTGTGTGTGTGTGTGCGTGTGTGTAATGCTCCAAGCTAAACAAGGCCTCAAGCCACTATATGTTTACTTTTACAGACTTATTTTAAGACAAACTAAGATAACGAAATTCAACAAAAGACAATAGATTTTGACAAGAAATTGGGCAAAAATGTTAAACGCGTTTATTTATAGACAAAATAATTGAATGGACAAAAATGAATATAAATTTGTTTTTTATTTAAATTATAGCCTAACGAAATTATCGTTTCCTGGATGTATGCGTTTTGCACCACTTTAATAATTTAGTTTAGCTGTTTATTAAATTGGTACATCTCTAACCATAGCCTGTAGATCGATTTTCCACGACCACAAACCACTGTACAAATTAAAACAATATTCAGACCTAACGGTGCATCAGATGGTAATTTCAATTTTGTTCTGTCCCATCTTTGCACTTGCAGGCCTTATGCTGCACAGTAACATCGTCTTATGACGAGTCAATACCCAGACATGGTCAGACAGGGTTTATTTAACCTTTCCGAGCAGCAAACACGATGCTACGGCGAAATGAGGATGAAATGAGGGGCCGGGCTGCAGCCCAATGGAGCCCGGCTGAATTGATCCGCCTTGGGGGAGCGCAGAGCAGTTTGTCCGCCGGGTCCCATGGGTGTTCCTCCGTCTCATCTCTGCAGCGACAGAATGTATGTTTGTGGAGATTACAAGTTAATTGTTCATGAGGGACCAAGAGGAGAAACCCACATCACAGGAAGGCGTCGGGATTACAGGCTGCTCAACACAGAAGATTATACATTCAGAGCCCTTCCTCGGCCTCACCGAATGCAAATGAGTGTGTGGATTAAAATAAAGACAGGAAAAGGAGAAGCAGCCCTTTTGTAACTTATTTGGAGGGAAGAAAACACCAGTTTTGTGGCTAAGTTGAGAAAGAGACGAAAGAGTTCATTTTCCACTTCTCTGTTTTGTCTTTAGGAATGAGTATGGCCTGTCTGTCACTCGCAGGCTGCCAGATGGGATGTAAATAGCTGGGTAGCTGCAATGGCCTTTTAGCCGCACAACACTGAGGAGGATGTTGTCAAGGGAAGCTGGCGGTTTGCTAGTTAATAGTCATGAGTTGGGGTAATTATTTAAGGTTTATTATTCTCCGGTTTCAAAGTAAATGGACTCTTCAATGGGACGAGAAATACTTCTTAATTCTAGCTAATTAGGAGCTGAGTAAAGCACAGACTGCTGCTGCCATCGAGCACTGTTACATTCATGGAGGGGGGATGAGTTGTAAGTAAGCCACAAAATACTGCACAAAACATTCACTTGCACATGCACAAGACAAATGCAAATCATCGTGGTTACACGATGAAGAGATGAATGGAAACCACAGCCTTTTGTTTTTTGTTTTGCTGTTTTCTTTAGCTTCATTCAGGGAGTTCATGTGATGATCATAAGATAACAGGACATTCTCATGGTTGCTGGCCTGCACCCTTAATGGTGCTGATGTTGAAATGCAAAGGGTTTTTGGTTGTTTGTTTAGTTTTTAGCAGTATTCAACTAAAAGTCTGTAGCTGCAGAAATTCAAAAAGTTGTTGTACACTTGCAAATAATGACTGAATTATGTCACTTTGTTTATCATAATGGCAGAGCTTATCCTCCTAGCAGGGTTCACAAAAATTATATTCATTTATACCTTTACCTAATTGTATAAATCCCACTGAGATTCAAATTTCTCTTTTTCATTAAGGAAGGAAAAGAGAGAGGGTTGGAGAGGATAATGATGCAGCACCACAAAGCAAAGACAGAATATATTAAAAATTAAACAATCGACCAGAGAAGGAAAAGAGAGACAGAGAGCTGAGAAAAACTGCTAAAAAATTCAGAAATATTTTTTGTTTCATGGGCATTTTAACATTTCTTTATTACACCAGTGTCAATTAAAGTTGAAAAAGCTTTTAGCATTTATTTGACATTTTTATTTCAGCTTATATATTTTTAAAAAAAGCTTATTATATCAAGTAAAAGTCCACAGCAAGTCTCAAAACCTTAAAGCATATGGGAGGTATGAACCAAAATAATGATTTGCTGACTTGTTGTTTTGAACAGGAGTGACAGGACAACCTCACAACATAAAACCATCACATACATAAAGGAACATAAATGCAATTCAGTTTCAGGCTGATGCCATTTGCAAGTCAGAAGTCAAATATGCAAAATACCATAAATAATTACAAAGACAACCATAAACTAAAAACAAAATGAACATAAAATGTCAGAGGTTTACCATTTGAGAGGAATTTATTTCCTTTAAACTGTGCAGTGTTGTCTATTGTAAATAAGAGAGGCCATCCTGTGTACTCTGGTTTCCAGCCGGGTCAGTGATGAGTGAAAGGACTTGTGGCCATCAGATCCTTTTCATGAAGCTTGACAAACAACTGGTCCTTTACAGAGCACACACCTGTTACTGGGAGCCACTGGAAGTTTATCACTTAGAGCAACACTGCTTTGTTCTCGCTCTCTGCACACACGGACACTATCAGGCCTTTTTTTAAATCTTGGAACGGATGCTAACAAGGCAACAAATTCTGCCAGCCTCCCTCTGTGGCCCTGTGACCGAGCTGCCTCATCCAAAACATAACCTCCAAATCTGAAATCTGTAAACTTGTTTTAATTAAAATACACTGACAGATGCTTGCCTGTCCCATCTTAGATATGGGCTTTACAAAGCTGCAAATATAAGGCTTTTGAGTCAGATATGTACAAACAGTAGGGGCCTTTAAGGCTTTTACAACTCCAGAGTGTGTATAAACATTTCATTTGGCAATCGTAGGCTGTTGCTGTCCAATCTGAAGAGTCCTGCATGTGTGTGAAGTGGTCTGCTGGTTTGTTTACTTGCTCAGTCAGTGAACTGCTGCAGGACCGATGCCTGAGGGCAGCAATTGAAAATAAATTTCACTTGAATAAGGGGCAGCGGCTGGATCTGCCGAGCCACTGCTAGAACAAAAGCAGTTGAGGGGATAAATTATTGACTGGGCTGACAGCCTGAACGAGACTGATTATAACCGCCTGGTCATCCTGTGTGCGTGTGTCATAGTCATAGTCATAGTCAGTGAAGCAGGTGCAGAGGCCATTCCCTCTCTGAGTCTACCTCTCTCTGCCACACTCTCTCTCTGCCCTTGGGGAAGCCCTGGGGCCCTCTGCCCTTCTGTCCTCAGCTGATTCCACAGACTAATGTTTAACCCATACTGCCAAAACAGAAAGCATATTTCCATCATAAGAGCGCTGTGCCATCGCCATTAGTGACTGAGCTCATTTGCATGCTAATTGTGCAGTTAGAGAGGTGGTGTTGACACTTCCCTTTGTCCACGAAGGGTCACGAGACGTGAGACGATGCTGAATGACATCCATGTGCATCATTGTGTCAGGCTGGTTGTGTCATCTGTTTTCGCTGCACAATGTAAAATAGATGAAGTTAATTTTAATAGTGTTCTTCATACTGTAGATTCAAATAAAGCTGCAAACATTTCTAACATAAAACATGACATTAATTCAAATGTAAGTATTTATAAGGCACATTAAGAGATAAGAAAAATAAGAAAAGTGGTGGAGTTAAACACATAATGCAACAATGACAAAAATGCTTTATTACAAGTTTTGCATTGAAAAGTTTACATAAATAAAATTACAGAAATATTATCAGCACTTAGACTGTAGTGGATCAGAATTTGTACTGTCATACATGGCAGTATTGATTTAACATGTAAGCAGCCTTTTACTGTTGTAGCTGATCAAGGGGGGATACTTTTACCTACTTAGTATACTATTTAGTAGTGTAACTGATCACAATTGATCAATCTTTTCTCTGTAAATCCTGACTGGCTAATAACTGTTGCTGTCACATGTCCAAGCTTATTTCTACAGCTAATATCATAAATAAATGTGGAGGAGTACAATAATTCATCTGAAAGGTATACTGGAGATGTCTACATAAGTAGAAAAGTACAGCAAAACTGTACTTAAGTACAGTACTTGAGTAAATGTATTTCAATATATCCCCCTACTGCCTGGTATATATAAGCATATAAAACTGCATAGATTAATTTATTTTGACCATCTCCAATGTCCAAATGTTAATGCATCAATAATAACAATAATAATCCAGCAATGATTATTATTGATTATCATTCAATTGGTTGATTGGCAGAAAATTATTCAAGAGCTTTCATAAAAATGCCAAATTATCAGCTTCTTCCAGCTGCTTAAATGGGA